GCTAAACATTATTAGCCTTGCAGTTCTCTGCTGAACGCTTAGTCACTCGAAAAGAAAGATTTCACATCCTGCTTCGCTCTTCACATCCCGCTAGTGGCAACATCATTGTTCCCACTAGGTCAGTCACTTATAAAACTATTGCTGGAATAAACAAGTATGCTCACCTTAAAACATATTGGCTGTGCATAAAAACAAAAATACATAACACACATTGGTGGGCATCACACTCACAACATGTTGTCTTTGTGCTACCTCAGATGCACATGTAGTGCAGACGGACACCAATTCCATACAGCACTAAACAACGAAAATAAACATTATTTTAACCTTGCAGTTCTCTCCTGAACGCTTAGTCACTCGAAAAGAAGGATTTCACATCCTGCTTCGCTCTTCACGTCCCGCTAACACATTGGTGGGCATCACACTCACAACATGTTATCTTTGTGCTAATCACAATTTCATCACTTGCGGGTTGCACTATCCAATCTGAGATATTAAAGTTCTCACTATTCCCACTCCACCAACAAACAATCCTGCTGCCAGTAGACCTTTGCCACAGCGAAACCACCAAATTCTGGTCTGAGTCTCAGCAGCGTTATGATGTTCAGCCATCTTTAGCCGCTGTTCAAGGTCATCGTTGTTATGTTCAGCCACATTTAGCCTCTGTTTAAGGTCATTATTTCGGGCCGACTCGATATCGTTATTATGTTCAGCCACCTTTAGCTGCTGTTCAAGGCCATCATGGTTATGTTCAGCCACAATTAGCCTCTGTTTAAGGTCATTATTTCGGGCCGACTCGATATCGTTATTATGTTCAGCCACCTTTAGCCGCTGTTCAAGGCCATCATGGTTATGTTCAGCCACAATTAGCCTCTGTTTAAGGTCATTATTTCGGGCCGACTCGATATCGTTGTTATGTTCAGCCACCTTTAGCCGATGTTCAAGGTCATCATTTCGGGCCGACTTGACATCGTTGTTATGTTCAGCCACCTTTAGCCGCTGTTCAAGGTAATTAGTGTTATGTTCAGCCACCTTTAGCTGCTGTTCAAGGTCATCATTTCGGGCCGACTTGACATCGCTGTTATGTTCAGCCACATTTAGCCTCTGTTCAAGGTCATTAATGTTATGTTCAGCCACCTTTAGCCGCTGTTCAAGGTCATTATTTCGGGCAGACGTGACATCATTGTTATGTTCAGCCACATTTAGCTGCTGTATAAGGCCATTATTCCTTGACTTTCTTATACTCTCCCAAAGTACACTCATTTTGCTTTCTTGCTTCTACTGTAGGCTGCTGGTGTCTCTTGAAAGTTCTCAACTGTGTGGACAAGTCTGGGGTAGGTAGGCTTTATAGTTTCTTTGCCTTTGATCTGGATTGTGCCTCTCATCTCTTTGTGACGTCATGCCGTTCTACAGAGTCTGTTTCTGAACTGACGTCATTTGTGACGCTTTGCCTTTGATCTTGACGAATCATGTGACGTCATTCTATGCGCCAGCTGTGGCCGTTTGGAGACCGAATGCGTCACTGCGGCTGCGACGAGGCTGTCCCATTTAGAAGACTCCTTCCAATGTATAAATGAATAAATACAAGAATAAATACATGATGAACGTGTGTTAGTGAGGTAGGCGGTCCGAACCTCATTCTTAAGCAGGATTGGTCGAGTCGGGGAGCAAGACAGAAGCAACCGATTCTTAGCGAGTCATCTCTGTGGACGAGGTCAAAAACTATCTAGCAGCACTCATGGCTTCGACCGGGCGGCCGCTGGCAGACCTGCTGCGGGATGTTTTCCATGCTAGATCCCTTGTGTAGACTAAATTACTATCGCCGGTGATGAGTGATTTATTTATTCATGCTGTGCGTCAGATCGCATTCCTGTAAAGTGTGCGATGATATCGTTAGCCAACATGTGTCTTCTGCAACGTCCTTATTCTCTGATTATAGCTTATCCTCTTCACTTGATTCTAGCCGAGGTTTCTAGACCGTTTGGTCCATATATTGGAGGGAGAAGGAGGCGAACTGTTGCTGCGCCTGCACGGCTTCATTCGTACACTCACTCTTTCTGTTGTATTGAGGACAAACCGATAAGCCAGAGACAGACTTGCTGCTGCAGGACTAGGGGGAAACGTCTTACATTCCAAGGTAAATCAGGCATCATGATGGACAGACGTATTTTTCTTGAATCGAGTTACCTTTCAAAAACATTAAACGTTATTATATGTCAAGTTGGATCGATTGTTTGTATTATTATCTTCTATTTCCAGGTAGTCATACTGATCCAGATGACTTTAGAGAATTTATTTTAGAGGCATATCCAAAACTCAGACAAGGGAGGATTTGAGTTGCTCAAAATCTCTGGAACAACACGAAGTCGCCAACTGATCATCATACCATGTCCCAATGAGGGTTACCATGTGAGACATTTGAAAGATCCACAAACACAGATTGGTCACGCTACAATTTTCATCCGACCACTCCAAAGAATCCTGAATCTGGAACCCTGTAAGATCCTCACTTTTAAATTGGTGTTCCCATATGAAAATGGCAAGAGTATGACTATTTACACAAGTATAGCTTGTGTTACATTTTAAAATGATCTTGTTTACAGGCATGTCAACCAGAATGCAGTAATGAGCTAGTTGGACCACCTCAGAAATGTGTGACGTGTGGAGAGGAGTTCCCTCTTACAAGAATCAAGGCTCCCAGTGATGAGTGCGTGAGGTATTGCTCTACAGAACTAAAACGTCACATTTGTCAAGCACTCAAGTAGTCGTACATCAGACATGAAGCATTAGGCTCTGGAGTCTGCCAAAAGATGTAAAGCATGTTGAATGTGGATGATCCTGTATGATCCTGAATATTGGTCTTGAGGGAAAGTTGAATTTGAATGGATTTATTCTATTCTATTCATATGACCATTCTTTTCTGGTTGCAGTGTTTTTGTGAATGTGTAATATAAAATATACTGGCCCCAATAACAAAACGTGCTTCTCTTTACCCAAGACCATCACAGAGCAGTGGTGAGGTCGAAATTGTGGTGACCACAGAAAGTGCCTCCCGAAGTGAAGGTAGATTTGTGAGCATGTTGACAAGACTACAAGTGAGACAACAAGGGCCAGCAACACAAACTATTGCGTGCCACCTCTCAGGGACGTGTGGCTGCTCCTGAGATAGTTGACCTAGATCCCACTGATTTCTACAGGATCACCCAAAGTATTCAGTGGCTGATTGATATTTCCTTACTAATTCTGTATGAAAGTTTGAATGTCTATGTCCTTTACATTCTGCACTGTCAATGTTCTTTCACTTTTCTTTTTTAATTGAAGTACCAGGAGGAACTCTTCTTTTTGAGGGGGAACAAGATCATCTGACTCCCTCCACTTGGCATTACCTTTTGGAGAGTGACTTCTTTGTTGTTGCTGGCCAAATGATTGGTCATTCCTCCATAATGGGCCATGCCTTGGAGGACTCAGCCCAGCTATCCTGCATGTGCTCTTTGGTGGATCCCCAGAAGAAGCCATAATAGATATTAAGGACTGTGCTGACCTTGACACAAAGTGGTAAAATACATTTTTCCAGTAAGATTTGAATGATAAAAATTCGGGGCAAGGACAATAAAAGTAATACCTGATGTCAGAAATTTTTCTCATACATTTCTACCGACAAAATATCTAATAACTGAATATTTAAAGTGTTATTTGATTACGATCATAAGCCTGCTACAAACAAATATTATTGAGTTGGGTTAAAAAGGAGCACAGCAGTCATCAGTTAGTCCTGTCTGTTTTAATCAGCAAAATGTGTATTTGTGATTCAATGAAGAGAAAAACATTTTCTCTAATAAACTTTTTATGTTTTTGTCCCCCACCCCTACTCTCTCTTTCTCCCTCATTGTCTCTCTCTCCAGTAATAACGTGTTATAAAAAGTATTTTCTCAATAATTCCAGACAATGACCGATATATATGTGTTGAGGACATTGTTGACTCCGCCCATACTGAAAATCAGACATTTTTACTGTACCAAATCAGAGACATTTAAAATAAAAGTTATACATTTGTCCCAAGAAATGGATACATTTCTGAATATTTGAGGTGCTATAAAAACTATTTTCTCAATAATTCCAAACAATGACTGATGCATATGTCTTCAAGACATCGTTGACTCCTCCCATAGTGAAAATGAAACATTTTTACTGTACAAATTAAAAGATCTTTCAGAGTAAAATTACTAAATATTTGAACATTCAAAAAGCTAATTTCGGAATATTTGAGGCGATATAGAAATACTTTTCTCAATAATTCCACACAATGACTAATGAATATAAGTTGAGGAAATCTGACTACACATATACAGAAAATGAAACATTTTTTACTGTGGTAATTAAGAGATTTTTTAAAGTAAATGTCCTACATTTGTTCCAAGAAATATCCAATATAATAATAACAATACAAGGTATATGATCTGCATGTGCTGGTTGTATCGCAGTGGACCAACAGAAGAGATGATACAGTTTAGATTGTACCTCATGCATCTGTGTCACACGACAAAATCCTTGATAGAAAATGACCAGAAAAGGAAAATACTTTGTGGCTGTGCAGAAGAGAGGAGACAACAAATGGTGCCACTTATCACTAGTCCTTGGTAATAAGGGATACATGTAACTAAGCATGGAGACAGAAACTTTTTGTTCCTGTGTTAATAATACTTTGTACACATTTAAGTCACAACAATGTCAGATATACAACTTTCAAAGGAAGACAAAATCACAAAAGTGTGGAACAACAAATCCACAACCAGATATTGCAGTAGACGTTGCTTCTTGGTTTTAATGCCAGGACCCTAAATGATTTAGAGATGATCTGTGGGCCCATTAAATGAATACAGCAGAAATAGATGAGTTGGCCATCTGTTGTCACTGCTGCTTGTTGCAACATGTAAAATAAATGTTATTAATGGCCGTGGGAGGTTCTTGTTCCAGGGACAAATGGGCAGAAGCAGATTCATGCAACTAAAGGGGGAAGGAGAGGTTGCAGAGTAAAATACAGTCTTCTATCTTCTATCTAAACTGTTTCATCAGACATAAGAAAAGTCTAAAGTTTTCACTCTGTTGCTTGTTTGCCAGGGAAACAATTTAATCTGTGTGTGAGGAGAAAACAGAGAAAAGCAGAATGTCTGTCTTCATGACAACTGGACCAAAAGGCTAATTCATTGTGTACGTTTAGTTCCTGATCAGCATTGTGTACCGAAGAGCTTATTCATGCGCTACAATGTTACATTGTTATCTACCTGTTTGATGTGGCCCTTCAGTAAAGCCATCCATCGCCAAAGTAGTTTCTTGATAAAACATTTTGGACTTGCCACTGCACTATAGTCACTATTAGGACTGAACATAACTCTTAATAACTCTTAACTTTTGCTAATGCAGTGTTTTGAAAGTCTTTTTCATTTGTTCTTTCATCTCTATATGTTTAAGGTGCAATCAATTGGGAAAAGTGCAAAATTTCAACTTGCATTTATGCATCTTTGTCTCAATTCGCCCATGTCACTTGCATCTTTGCATTGACCTTATGTGCAATTGCACTGCCTCTGAAGTTTCTTTCACATTTTGTCTAAAGCACGACAAAAAACAAATTTAACTTTGATTTTGTCTTCTGTAAATTTTATCTCCCTACATGCTGGTCTTAACGTTGTTAAAAAGCCTTCTCCGCACTGAATTATGCACTAAGTTTTGCCTAAAATGCATCCAATTTTCAATTATTTTGTCATTAGTTCTCAAGTCATTAAACTTGGGTGGGTGTAATTTTGTGTTAGTATGTGTAGGTGGCTGATTTTGTACAGGTGCATCAATGTGTGACAGTGCCCATTTCGGGGACAAAACAGTTATAAATGAAAATACAATCATGATTGCCATCTAGCCTGCGCACCTGTGCCAAAACCTTCCTCTGAGAGATGATACTGGTCCGGCGTGTGACAACATGAGACAACATGTAAACTTCTCACACACAGCTGGAATGTATTGCTTACTTTACTTTGTTTTATCTTCTTGTTTTATAAGCATTATTTTTTCATTTTATTTTCACTGGAAGGAATGGTTTGACAGTTGGGTAAATATGTGTATTTGCTTTCTTGCCAAGGATTGGATGAACAGATTGATGCCACTCTTTCTTTTGTTAATTGGAGTAATCTGCTCCACTTTACATCTCTGTAAACAGCATTCTGAATGAGCTGTAGTTGTCTGATTGCATCAAGGCCAACATGGTAATTTCTTTTTACCTAGTCTGTGAAAAGGGGTCATTTTTTGCCTAACTTCTCTCATTCCACAAATAAGCATGTCAATTAAGTATCTTCAGGCGTCTACGCTGACCGTGTTAATGGACCACTAATGGCAACAACCTGGACCGGTGGAACATCGTCATGTTTTACGGTGAATTCTGGAAGTGTCTGGTGTTCGAGATGCTGGACGTCAGCCTAAACAACTACCTTTGTAAGAACTGTCATCCAGCAGGTAAAGCATCAGCAATTAAGGCATCACTGAACACTGTCAGTTTTAAACTAAATATTATTTGTATTTCTGACCTTGTACTTCTGTTATCTCATGACTGCTGTCTCTTATTTCTGCTTTTATGATTTAAAGCACTTTGTGCTACATAAATGTTACATTTGTCATTATCATATCACTTGCATCTCCTCTCCAAAGAATCGCCACCTTAACGCGGTGGAGGGGTTTGTGTGCCCCAGTGAGCCTGGGAGCTGTGTTGTCGGGGGGTAAATAGCTCCTGGTAGGGTCTCCCAAGGCAAAGTGGTCCCAGGTGAGAGGCCAGACAAAGAGCGATCCACTGACCCTTTTTGAATCGAACAGAAAATAATTGTATGTGTGTGTTTCCTACTCATGCCTGTGGGAACTGGGTGATTATCTCCAATGGTAAGATCATGAATGAGAAACGAGCCGCTGTAATTTAGTCTGTTACTACATGTTAGGCTTTGCAATTAATACAATATGTTTCCTCATTTAATTTAATATTTTTCTTCCACATTAAGTGCTCCAGAAGTTATGTTGGGTCTCCTACTTTCCGTGGCCGTAGGAATCTTGTTTCTGGGCTGTGTGATTACAACCATGGTGTTCAACTTTGGGCTCTTCCCGTGGAGAATTGACCGTGAATTAGTAAGTAATTCACCATAACTGGACCCTCTGTTTGCTTTCCATTGTATTCATAGTGGTGCTGCTGCTCCTATGTTACCCTCCTTAACAGTCTCCATATTTATTGACTGGCTTTCATCAAAGTCCTTATTGCTTATGATGTGCATAAGTAAATAAGCTGAATGTCTTAATGTGATGCGTTTTATCTCCAGCTGCAATACAATATCGATCTCCTGCGTCCACTATTAATGCCAGACGGAAAACAAAACTGCTTTCAATCAATGGATGCTTACGGTACAATGCTCATTCTTCAACTATTTTGATATAACACATTGGATAAAAACACATGACAATTCAGTAATAGCCAAGTTTAAAAAAAGAAGCTTATTTGTAAAGATATGAATACAATTTTAAATAGATATCTTTAATGAAATATAGGCACTCAATCTCACAATAGCCATCGTTTTCCAAGTAATAACAATTACTTGGAATGTTTATATACGTTTATAAGCAGTATAACATGTTTTTAGTTACCACTTCAGAGGAAGAGGAACAAGATGTAAACACAACTGACATTACCTCCTTATAAAATGAATATTGTTAATGTGTAAGCAAACAATGGTACAGTTACACATCAAGCAGACAAGGCAACATTCGCATTTATTTGAAGTCATGTTTCAGGTTGATGAAAGAGCTTTGTTTCGGTCCCTGCCAACTTCTGGGGGAAATATGCCGCTCTTCAGCTGCTGAATGCTCCACTGTGTACAATGCAACCAGCTAGTTGTTAACTTTGTCTGTCATTTAACGAGGAACAGGAAGCACACAGTTGATTCAAATCCAAAACAATGAGCTAAACAAGGCTAAAACCCTCCATGGAACTAAAGGGAAACTGCAGAGCTGGTGATAATTCTTTGTGGATTTGTCACCAACAAACACCACTTTTCACTTTGTTCAACTTTTAATATGAAGATATTGATTAATGTAGCTTTAATGTAAACAATGAATACATCTTCTACTTAAATAATCAAGCTATTTTTTGGGGCAATCACCCATTAACTTCTGTTAACTCCTCCGAAGGAAGCATATTACTGCAGTGCATCCTTTCATTGTCTCAGTGTCATTATTTATTTCCTGCATGTGTTCTTTCTGTCTCTCGGGTTGTGTCTGGTCAGATATTGTCTCTCTGTGGTAATTTTGACTTTTTTTTATGTCTACCAATATCCCACTTATTGTTTGCATACACATTTTGACTATAATACCGATCATAAAAGTGCAAAATAGAGTGAAATAAGGTATTCTCTGATAAGCATACAGATCCAGTTGAAATCCTGCTCTGCTGGCCTGATAATCTTGTAATGACATAATGTTGTCATGGTGTTAAACTAAAAATTCACAGCTTCCAACTCCCATTGGTACTGTTTTCATGACAGCTTGCGTTACTCGTGGGATCCATTCACATGTGCAAGAAAGCAAGGCACACATGCACATGCATTACAGATTAATCTATCCCTGTGCCTCTGTGCACAGGTTGATGGGACAGAGTAGAACACAAAAGACTCTGTGTGTGTGTGTGTGTGTGTGTGTGTGTGTGTGTGTGTGTGTGTGTTAGAAAGAGAGATGGGGGTGCATTCAGGGGTAGTGTAGGGACTTGGCAGTGGCATCCAGAAACATTCCTATCTCTCACACACACACCCGTTCCTCACCCCTCATCTATTTTATCG